GAGAGAGAGAGAGAGAGAAGGGTATGTATGTGTGCATTTATGTGTGTGTTTTCCTGCTTGTGTGTAAATTCTCTATCTCTCTCTCTCTCCCTCTCTCTGGTGTAATTTATAGCCCTCAATCGGAGGCCTTATCAGGTGCAGGACACATGGATGCCTCCTTCTCTCCTCCTTCTCTGCTCCTCCTCCACGTCTTTCAACTCTTGCACACCAACTTGTATTTTTCTTTCCCCCTCTTCCTCTCCTCTCTCTCTTCCAATCTTTCCCCCATCTTATTATTCAATACTGAAGGATGCTTTCTTTAATTGCTGCCCTCCTCATCCTCCCCATCTTCACCTCCAGTTCTCCTGTTTCTGGACCAGCTATCATCAAACTCTCCTGCTCTACTTTTATTGAATTTCCCTCCCCTGTCTTCTCCTAACCTGTTTCAAAACAAACTGTATTTACATGACAATATATGTTGCTGAAAAGTGAAGTATAACAAAACTGGCAAAATATTCTAGTAAATATTAGAAAATATTGATCAGCTTGATAGACAATATCAAAACTTTGGTTTTGTTAGGGATTCTTTACTTGTTCCCTAAATACATCTGATCAGGTGTGTGTTCCCTAAACCCAATCCCTCCAGTGAGAATTCAAACAATAAAGTCTGTGTTTAATCCATTTGATCAAGTGTCTAATCCCACAGTCCAACCAATTATGTGTGTTTTCCCATAATTCACCTGATTGTGTGTTCCTTAAACCTGAATGGTCAAATATGTGTTCCCTAAATCATGATAATCTGGTGTGTTCCCACAGTCCAACAGATCAAGTCTGTGTTCCATAATTCCAACAGATTAAGTGTGTGTGTTCCCTAAAACCAAACAATCAAATGTGCGTTCTGTAAATCCAGCCGATCCAGCGTGTTTCCTAAATCCATCTGATCAACAGTGTTCCCTAAATCTGAATGATCAAGTGTGTTCCCTAAATCAAACCAATCCAGTTCCCCAAATCCTGACAGAAATGTTTTTTGTTAAATTCGTGTGATGATGCCTGTTGCCTAACTATTGAAGTGTGTATTCCTAAATCCAGCCAATCGTTGTGTATGTCCTATTTCCTAAATCAAGCTAATTATATGTCGTATTCTTTAAATCTGCTTGGTCCCTAAATCTATCTAATGTTCCCTAAAATCCAAGTGATCCAAGTGTGTATTCCCTGAATCCACATCTAATTTATGTTTCCTAAATTTAAATTAGTTTGTGTTCCCTAAACCCATGTGTCTATCAGTTGTTTGTTTAGAAAAATCCTCTTGATCATTGAACATCCGTTCCCTCAACCAAAACGACTCTGATCAAGTGTATGTTCCCTAAATCCAATTTACCATTAAGTGTTTTTTGCGTAATCTTCACTAAACCCATGAATTCTATTCTTTTCTACAAACCCAAACATACATTTGTTGAGGTAGCGCCTTTTGGTGTGACTGCAAAAGGCATTTTGTAACTAAACCAGTTCATTTCTATTGGGCTAACAAAATCACACAATCACGCACTCAAACACAGATAAGCTGACATTCCAAATGACTCAACAATGAATGTAAGCTGCTCACTATACACACGCTGACACAATAGAGGGCCTATTGAGGAGAGATTTGTGCACTACAATGCATGAGACAACTGTGAGTGCATGTGTGTGTGTGTGTGTGTGTGTGTTCTACTGTAAGTGAGAGCTGCATTTGCACATTTCAGTCAACCTGAATGAACTGATTTACCTGTCATGTACAAAATACATCCTTCCTCTCTGTTGATGTCAGTGTCTCTCAACCTCTGTATGTCTGTCTTTTCCAACAAAGGCCTCATATTTAAACAACAAAACAGACTCTTGTTTTTTGGTTACTATGTTAAAGTCACACATTTTATATTTCGTACCCTGGTTGTAAGACGGTGGTGAACTATATTATTCTGTTTGTTAATCTAATGTAATTTGTGGTTAATTTTGTCAGCCGATCCACAAGTTTGGTCCAGATTGAAATATTTGAACAACTATTTGATTGGTGGATTGCCATGAATTTTGTCTAGACATTCACTGTCCTCAGAAAATTAATTCTACTGACTTTCGTATTCCCCTGACTCTGACTGTCACCTAGCGCCATCAAAAGGATGACATTTTTGTTTTTTTGTGAAATATCTTAATATTTGGATGGATACATTTTGGTGCATAGTGTACATTCACCACAGGATGAACTGTAATAACTTGATCCACTGACTTTCCATCTATAGCACCATTATCAGATCACCTGTGACCTCTCAGTCAGCAGACTGACCTTTGGCAGATATAACATCATGGATCCAGTGATGATAATAGAGGGGATTAGTGGTCTACAGGAGGCTAAAAGGACCATTAAATTTCATTGAGACACATTAAAAGCCTTACAATCATAATCAATAATGTTTAATGACATGGAGAGTGAATGATATACGCCGCTGTAGTTGATTATAGACTGTACAGTAATATTATATGTAGTATTAAGTGTTGAAAGTGATGTGATGAGAGTGATGATCGCTCACATGATTATGCGAGTGATTAAAATGTAGATCTGAGGACTGATGTTGACTATAGCAGCTCCTGAATAAATGTTAACTGAAAACAGTTGTTTAAAACAGTGATTCCCAACCAGGGGTACTTGTACCGCTCGGGGTACTTCTGCTGTTGCCAGGCGGTACTTGGAGAGAATGTCGAGTAGCTGGACTAATTTGAAAAAACTGAACTAACGATTTGATTAAAAAAAATACATCCACATATTGCTATAACAATTAATTTAGGTGTTATTGCAATTAAGAGTGCTTGAAAACTGAAAACTAGCTAGCAAGTGAGCAGAGGAGATAAAATGGGTAGCTAAAAATACGGGATAAATAGTTGGAACATCCACCTTTTGCCACTCCATGTGGTTGTAGTACGCATGCAAACTTGACCTAACTAAACTAGACATTACATTAGTATGGAAATACTGTAACATCAATAATTTGATTAATAGTTATAATATCCAGTTTGAAATTTGTTCAAAAATGAACACATCTGGAACATATGTGTTGCTGTTAAAGAAGGGTTACTTGATTTCATCAGACTGGGTTGAGGGGATATGTTTTACAAAAAATGTTGGGAGCCACTGTTCATCAAACATCACATGTAGCATAGATATTTGTATTGTTTAATTTTTTTTTTATAAATTTAAAATGACTTTCTTTTTCTACTTGCTGGTTTTATTTTCAGTCATGGTGATGCCAGTATTTTGCTGACTGTTGCTGTTTTTTATTTTTTATTTTCCACCTCCATTTAAACTCACCGAGGCACATGAAGGGATTGGATTTTCTGGGTCATTTATTTTCCCAAACTGTATTTTTCCTCCAGATTATCAACTCTTACTTTCCTAAACTGCAGTGTATGTTTTGTTTCCTATCGTCTAAATCTGTCTTTCTCTCTCCTTCTCTCATACAGATATGGAGGAGAGAACGAGTGCAGGGTCATGGGCGAGTGGAAGTCGTTCTTCCAAGGTAACTACTAACAACAATGCTACTACAAATAATTATTTACTTTAATTGCTGTCAAATACAGTTGTTTTTTACGTTTTTAACATTGCAATCATTGCCATTACTTCGATAAGAACTACTACTGCTATAAATAATGCACTAGTGATGTACTGAGATGTTACTGACCTAAGCCGTTTCCATCAACATATTTTGGTGCGCATTATACTGCATTAGAAAAGGTTGATGGAAACAGCAAAAGTCCATCCTGTTTACTGTATGGTTTTCACCATTTGAGGTTCGACTGGCACTTTTTTTATTACATGATCTTGTTGTGCCCTTTTCTTCTGGTTTGCCGACTGGAGAAATGGTGGCACTGCTTATCTCAATGACGCAACTCCTAATAAGCGCATAACTATAGTGAATGGAAACAAGCATTCATTTGTATTTTTTACTCGTAATAAAAAAAATTTACTTAAATTTTTTCTGCATTTTCATATTTTTAGACAACTAAGATTTCATATCAGAAAATAATCCAGTCTGCTTAAAGCTGCAGTAGATAACCTTTAAAAAATAACTGCTATATCCTGACAGTAGTACATGAGACAGATAATAATAAAAATAATGTTCTTTTGGCTCCTCCTAGTTCTCCTAATGGCATTTGCAAGAATCCACCTGGGCCTGTACAAAAAAAAAAAAACAATCAGAGCAGAGAAACATAGAAAGACACTTTGGGCTGGTAGCTTGAAGATACTGGATAGTTGAGTCTCATTCCCAGCCTTGATATTTGATGTCCTGGGAATGAGACTCAACATTCAATTATCTTTCTTGGCACTGATTGGTTGTTTTCTGTTTAGGCCCTGTGAATTATTGTAAATGCCATTAGGAGCACTGGGAGGAGCTAGAGGAACCTGATTTTTTCACAGATTATCTGTCTCATGTACTTCTGTCAGGATAAAGTGAAAGTTTCAGTTTCATGACAAAAAATAATTTTCAGATAATTTACCTACTGCAGCTTTAAGACCGAAGGGTAAATGCACACATACAGTGTGAGGTGTCACATTAGAACAGAAACCTGCCATAAAATTGGAAATAAGTATTTTAATTATAATTGGCAGTGTTTAATAGAGAGCTGGAAATGTGGAGAAAAAGAGGGAGATGACATGCAACAGGAGTGCCTTTCTGGAATCTAAACAGGGGCGTTGGAGTTTATGTGGCATGCTTTGTAGCTCCTGTGGACCAACATGACGCCCTGAGAAAAGAGCATTTTTCATGGCAGTATTATCCATTTGTATAATGCAGAGCTCTTCAGCCAGTCAATCTTAACTCAGTTGTTTTTAATAATGTTAATGGAATAGTTTGGAGCACCCTTCTGGCTTAGGGGATGAGACGTCAACTATGAACTGCAACGTCTGCGGTTCAAGTCTGGCTGGGCGCCTTTGTTACATCTCTCTCTCTCTCTCTCTCTCTTATTTCCTGTTGTCTCTCTATTATCTGTAATAAGTGCTTTTTAAATAGTTTCTTTTATTATTTATTTACAAATTATCATTATCATTAATTATTTGAAATTTTAGAAAAATACACTAATTTGATCTATTGAGAGTTAGATCATATGATTGATACCACTCTCGCTTTTAGCCTGGCTCTGTCCAAAGGTTTAAAAACAGCTCACTATTATCTCATTATATCTTGTTATACCTCATATGATGGAGGCTAGCTTTCACCCTCTGCTTCCAGTTTATATGCTAAACTAAGCTAAGCTGACCGTCCGCTGGCTGGCTCATATTTAGCGCAGCGATGTGAGAGTGGCATCAATCTTCTCATCTCTTGGCAGCAAAGAAAACCAACTTATTATAAAAATGTCAAACTATTAGTGTACTCTGCTGTATCAGCTGTATTATGAAGGAAAATATGAATATGAAACTGATTATTAGTATCAAAAGACTCAGATGAGGCCATCCAGCAGTGTCTCTGCTACTTCTAGTACTACTATTGGTACATTGACTACAGAGAGTGCTACTGTTGCCTCTGCCAATCTGATTATTACTACTATTACAACTTCTTTTGCTGTTAATAGTAATGACAACTACATATAATAATGAAATATAACTGTTCACCCTGCATGTCTGTGTCTCTCTCCAGAGTTATGCAGATGGGTCTCAGTACATGGCATCACATGACAGTCTCTCACCGCCGTACGCCAACTCCAGGCTAGCAGGTACGCCACAGGCCGTGTGTGTATGTGTTGTTATTATTTTACAGTGCACTCCTTTCTTTCCATCTACTTTGGATCCACTGCTATGCTGGGTTTTGATCAGACAGAGTGTGTGTATATATGTGTGTGTGTGTGTGTGTGTGTGTGTGGGTGCAGAGAATTAGTGAAACACTATCGTACACTGGAGGAGACAGGTCATCTGGCATGCAATTTCTCTCTCTCTCGCACTCTCTCTCTCTCTCTCTGGCTCTCTCTCTGTCTCTCGGCCTGCTGTGTGGAAAACGCTAGGCAGTGTGTGCTCATTTACCCATGATGCTCTCTGCCTCTGGCTCTCTCCGAAGTGGCGCCAGTTGTGAGCAAATGGCCACTGACACAGATAATCTGCCTCTCTCACTCACTCACTCGCGCACACACACACAGACGCACACACACATACAGAGCTTAATTACCTTTGACTGGATGCATCAAATATGGAAGATGTCAGCTCTCAGCTATCTGACTCTACCTGCTCTTTCTCTTTCTCTCTCTCTCTCTCACTTTTTTTCTCATTTGTTGGTTTATAGTGTGCTCACTCTTTCTCTTGTGTAGTAACATTACATCTTAAGTCTTCCATTTTGATGTCAAGTCATGTGCATCTCCATCACAGAGGCTGATGTGATACACATCTCGATGCAGTGCCAACAATCTAACACATCCACGATACATATAAAATTCGCCTCTATTGCGGTGCAGTACGGTTCAAACCAATTGGATTCAACGCAATGTAATTCCACGCGATACGATGCAAAGGAATATGATGCTATGCAATAGGGCTGTCACCAATAGTCACGTTCGAACAAATGACATGCAATTTGTTGGAATGAATTTGAAAAAAATGTAAGTCAGACGAGGTTGTACACTTGCCCCATGCTTTGTATGTTAGTGTCCTCTGTTTTCGTAGTAAACATTTACTTTTAGCTTAGCTTACTGACAGGTCAATAGGGCATGTCACAGGTCAATCTGCTAGTGGAGCGCCCTCTGCTGGTTTAAAAGGCAAACTACTTCAAGTCGTCTGTTGCACTCATAGACCGTACATTTGTTTGAGTTTGTTTTTATTTCTTTAGTCTTCTGAAGGAGCTTGAGTTCAGAGTTCAGAGAGGATAAAAACTGGTTACATTTCTCAATAATAAAGGCATAGGGCCTCTACTAATAATAATTATATATAAATAAACAAGATTTTATTGATGCAAAGATGTTAGAAATGATGCAGCCCAAATTGTATCTGATGCACTCCGTTTTAAGCTGGATCGCATCTTGACCTTTAATACCGAATCTTACCACCCCAATTGTATATATAGTATATAGATAAATATAATAAATAAATATATAAATATACAGACACCTAATCAAAGGTTTGGTGACAGCTTAACACCAATGTTTGATTGCTGAACACAACACTCCATAACTATGGGCATAATATGCTGCTTTAAAAAACCTTCAGTCTTCAGAGAAGGCTTTGTAAAAGACTTCAGAGTCTGGCTGCAGGGATTTGCTCCTATTCAGCCACAAGAGCATGGTAGTCGAGGTCAGGGGTCTGTGCTGGCTGGTCAAGTTCTTCCATGTCAAACCATTCCATTCCATTTTCTCTTCCCTAACTTCCCTAAGCTAGCAGATCACTGGAACAAAGCGGTCTAGACCAAACCATGAAAACAGACAGTTTTTTTTACCCATATCTCCAAAACTACAATTTCATTTTATTTTCCTTATTGCATTTGTGTTTTATTTGCTCATGGCAACCACAAATCACTTACACAGTTTGTTGTAGCTATTATTTTCGTAATAAAACTTTGTATTTCTGCAATGTCTGTTAAGATTAAATTTGTGTGGTCAAACGAAAGTATCCCATTGTTTCTTTAATCAACTGAAACAAAATTGAAATAAAATAAATATATTTTTTATTATTACAAGAAAATTGCTAATTCCTAAGATTGTTAGTTAGTCAGTTAGTTGTGGATGCACACTAACAAAATACATAAAATAAATCAAAGAATAAGAAAAAAAACTTTGGGTTTTGGGTTCTTTGCTAGAATGATCCATTGTGTGTGCGATGTGTTGTGACAGTGTTGTGATTATGGTATGTAGCTGCAGAGGCAGAGAGGGAAGAGACGACGCAGAGTCAGAAATGGAAATATTGTATTCTTCATCTGGCACACGGGAGCTGCAATTTACTTTGATAATGATAACGCTAAGAGACAGAGACAGCCAGGGATATGGAACACACAGACACACGCACACACACAGTTTCACCATTGCTAACACTATTGTAGAAAACATCCTCTTCACTTTATACCTGTGACTGTTCTGATCTGGGTAAATCAGACTGTCTCTTATGTCAGTTGGCTTTTCTGTCTCTTTTTTGCATGTCCTGATGGGAAACGTAGTGTTTCACTATCGATACTAAAACCACAGAGCCTTCATTAATATCAGTGATGATGTATTGCCCAGTTCTAAGTGCCAAAGAGACCAACAAGACTACTTCTTTCCACAAATGTTGGACCAGTTGCTTGGACTAGTTGCTTGAGTTAGTTGGTAGATCGTTGCTAAGGCATTACAAGGTGGTCCTCACTATGATGTTGCTAGGTGGTTGAAAAAAAGGTTTTCAGGGTACAGTAGTTGCCAGACCCTTATTGGTCATTGTTAAAGTGTTGCTAGGGGGTTGCTAAATGGTTGGCTGGGCATTCATTTCCACATGTCAACAGATATGTGTGTGAGTGCCGAATCTGTAAGCATGGGTCCCTTTGCTTACGGATTCTACAATCATTCTGGCGTCGGAAGCGTTGTGGTTTCTGTTCGTAGTCCGAGTAGTATTGACTGGTCACATTTGAGTGTGCTTTGGTTGCATGCAGGTAAACAGTCAAAGCTAAAAAGGCGGAATGTATTGGGCAAAATGCAATATCGGAACACGTTGGCTATTGTCTGATGGCAATTTAGCTTTTTATTCACTGTATTAATTCATCTGCATTTATATATAGATATATGTTTATAGAGGTTAGCCAAAATTTGCTAATTTGCACCATAACCCCTGAAACATTGCCTGTTGCCCCCAGAGGCTAAATCAGATTTAGACAATAGTTGATTGGTTCCAAGATTGCTTAGGTATTGCTTTATGATGCTAAGGGACATTAGGCTGCACCAGGCTACACCTTTTCTAGCAGGATATGTTATTCTAGAATAGAATAGAATGCCTTTATTGTCACTATGCACATGTACAATGAGATTAAAAGCCAACTCCAACAGCAGTGCAAAAACAGTGTAA